AGTCAAGCCATCATGCCTTGCCTTAACAATAAGTCCAAACCCAGGCTGGTGATCACCTCGCACTCTCAACAAACCACAAGAGGTCAACCAAGAACAACCCTTGGGTACAGCTCCTGGTTTGTCTTGAGAGAAGCAGAAAAAACTAAGAGCCTATGTTTGGATAGTGGATGAAATCAATTAAGTTCACATTTGAAAATGAGCTCTCATAATCGACACTTTCCAAAAGAATATGGGGGCTGAAATTTCCTTTGAAATTTGGACTTCTCCAAATTTTGCAATGCAGTTCTCCTATGTGTACAAATATTCTGAGGTACAGTGGAACCTCGGTTTTTTACCATAATCCATTCCTGAAGACCGTTTGACTTCCAAAACCAAAAACTGAAAGCAGAAGCCTCAATACAATAGGGAAACTCAAAAAGGAAGCTGCGTGGCACGTTTGGCTTCTGAAAATTGTTCGAAAACCGAAGCAGTTGCTTCTGGGTTTTCAGCATTCGAAAGCTGAAACGTTCGACTTCTGAGATGCTCAAAAACTGAGGTTCCACTGTATTAACGAAAATAGAATGCCAATGTGCATCTATTAGGGGAAACTGCTTGGCAGAATGTGGAGACAAAGCAAAATTGCTTGTAAACATGTGCAGAGAGTCACACTAAAATTACTGTTGAATTTTCACGAGGACTTTAAACAAAATGATTGCAAAATAGAGAGAAGCCGAAAGCAGGAAATTTCCCCATCTGTAGCCTCGATGATCTGTTGCATAACTGGCTGAGATACTGGTGCATACGCACACTGCATTTCCCCCTTTTAAAAATACTTTGACTATGGTTTAAACAATGTGACATGTGAACCAGGACTCATGTTCTGGTTGTGGTCCACCCTTTGCTTGAGTCCCAGCGCAGTTCACACCTTTTGTGTAACATGCATCATGTCGCCTCCAGGCAACGCCTGTGGGAAAGAAAATGCATTTGACCAAATGTCAGTCAAAAGTTTGGAGGGAACAAACCAGTTTTCTTGGAATTCTGAGCCTTTGGCTCTCGGGGGCAGTTGCTCTCTATAAAACGAGAGAGCTCTGTAGACAAATAAAATGAGATGAACCCATAATCTGAGGGGAAAACAAGTGAACAAACTGGATTTGGTGTAATTTACTTTACTTTCAATTATATATGGGTTAAGAAGTGCGCTTTTCAGAAGAAAGCTAAAGATCAGGGAAGGGAGATTTGGTTTTAAAAACCCCAGAATTAACATAAATAAATGGATATTTGCAGGGCCTTTGAAGCGGCTGAAGGAAGAATCACTCTGCTGAGAGACATGGTTTTTGCAAATGAAAAAGGAGACTTGTAAAATCTCTGAGTTTAAAAAAGGAGACAAATTTGGTTTTAAAGGCTTTCTTATTTTATTTTATTGTTCTACTCTTTTCTTTTGTAGCCTGGGAAGCTTTGCAAATAAGTTGTAGTGAAAGAGGGAAAACAGGAAAACAAATATCAAAATATTAGATTAAAGTACACCATGAGAAAGTAGAGTGAGAGGTTAAGGACGGAATTACAGTGATATAATGACACAGTGTGGCTGAAAAAATAATTGCAGGAGTTTTCTATTTAATGATCAAGAAATATTAGAAGGGGGGTATATTAAAAGATTATTTTGAAATTAATTTGAATGAGGAGACAAATTTGAAAGTGATATGGGATGCGAGCAAAGCAGCGATGCAGGCATTTTTTTACTCAGCAAAGTGCATACCAAAAAAAAGAAAAGAGTTGTAAAAGCAATAAATTTTATAAGAAAGAAAGAGGAAAGAAAAAGAATTGATCAATTCCCCTCAAAAAGAGATAGTTAAACAGGATATTAAAATACTGTATTTTTTGCTCTATAGACTCACTTTTTCCCTCCTAAAAGTAAGGGGAAATGTGTGTGTGTCTTATGGAGCGGATGCAGGCTGTGCAGCTATCCCAGAAGCCAGAACAGCAAGAGGGATTGCTGCTTTCACTGCGCAGCGATCCCTCTTGCTGTTCTGGCTTCTGAGATTCAAAATATTTTTTTTCTTGTTTTCCTCCTCCAAAAACTAGGTGCGTCTTGTGGTCTGGTGCGTCTTATAGAGTGAAAAATACGGTATTGCAAACACAGTTTTCAATGATAATAAATCAAGAAATAGAGTGGAAAATTATATATTTAAAACAGAAACAATTTGCACAGGCTAATAAACCAAGGAAATTATTAGCATGTCAAATAAAAAAAAGGCAAGAGAAAGCTTGTATAAACAAAATTAATATAGGAGGTAGAGTTGTGGAAAGTCCTAAAGAAATAAGAGCTCAATTTGTGAATTTTTATATAGAATTATATTGAGGGATATGGGATAATTTGGATGAAATGCAAAAATATCTAGAGGACAGTGGAATATCTAAAATACCAATAGATAAAATGCCAATTTTGAATGCACAGGTGACAACGATGGAATTACAACAAGCAATTTCACAGGCAAAACTTTTGAAAGCACCAGGACCTGATGGTCTTTCAGCAATATATTATAAGAACTTGCAGGATTATCTAATAGAACCATTAAAGGACATTATGAATATGATTTTAAATACGGGTGAGCTGCCAGAATCCTGGAAGAATGCTTATATGAGTTTGATTTCTTAACAAGACAGTGATCCTGAGCAGCTAAAAAATTATCGACCTATATCTTTGTTAAACAATGATTATAAACTTTTTGCAAACATGTTAGCAAATAGGTTGAAACTGGTATTAAAAGAGGTAATCCACCATGACCAGGCTGGGTTTTTCCCAAGAAGACAAATGAAAGATAATATTAGAAATGTATTTGCTATATTAGAACACTTACAAGTGAGAAATGAAAAACAAGCAGCTTTAATGTTTTTAGACACCGAGAAAGCATTTGATAATGTCTCCTGGAATTTTTTGTTTAAAGTTTTAGAATATATGAGTTGTGGAGACATTTTTATAAAAGGAGTCAAGGCAATATATACTAAGTTGACAGTAAATAATGTCCTGACTGAGAATTGTATAATAACTAAAGGAACAAGACAAGGCTGCCCTTAGTTGTTTATAATAGTTTTAGAAGTATTGGCACAAAGAATAAGATGTAATCAAGATATTAAAGGCATAAGAGTGGGACAGAGACAATATAAATTAAAAGCATTTGCAGACAACATGGTGATGTCCATAGAAGAACCAATAGTCAATCCCCAAAGTATTACAAGAGATAAAAAATAAGGTAGCAGGTTTTAAGATTAATAAAGATAAAACCAAACTCTTGGTTAAAAATATGAAGGAGGAGAGTAAGAATAAATTACAAGATGTAACTGGTTTGAAGATTGAAAGAAAGGTTAAATATTTAGGTGTATGGGTAACAGCAAATAATATATATTTATATAAAGATAATTATTTAAAAACCCGGGAAGATATTTTTTAAAAATTGCAAATTTGGAACAGAATGAATCTTTCATTATTAGGCAGAGTGTCAACCATAAAGATGAATGTGTTGCCAGTGATATTATTTCTGTTTCAATCAATTCCGGTGATTGGCAAGACAGATTGTTTCAAGGAAAGGTAAAAAGTTATTTCTAAATATATCTGGCAAGGGAAAATACCAAGAATAAAATATAAAATATTTATAGATGGAAAAGAAAGAGGAGGTTTTCCTATTCCAGATATGAATTATATTATGAGGCATCCTGTTTATGTTGGTTGAAGGAATGGATGACATTAGCGAATTCACATATATTAGACTTAGAAGGTCATGATAATATTTTTGGTTGGCACACTTATTTATGGTATGCAAAGCTGAAAGTTCAGAAAGGATTCACAAACCATATAATTAGGAAAAACTTATATGGAGTATGGGATAAATATAATAATTTATTAGAGGTAAGAACACCATTATGGCTCTCACTGCTGGAAGCTATAGCGGCAAAGTAAAAGAATATGATAGAAGGTTGAACAACATAGAAATTTATTAAAACAAGAGGGAGGAGAATATCAATTGAAAAAAATTAAGGAATTATCAGGAAAATTATGACATAATTAAGAAAGATAGGATACGAGGGTTTGGGGAACAAATCTCACAACTGGAGAGAGACCTGTTGGAATGTAATGTAAAAGTGTTGTCTAAAATGTATAAAATATTATTGGAATAGGAGACAAAGGATGGACAAGTGAAATCCTCAATGATACACTGGGCAATAGATATCGGTCATAACATAGATATGAAAGCATGGGAACTATTTGAATGGTCCACCCCCACTACTTAATGGATCCAAATGGCTTCCGGAGAGTTGTAGTGGCACACATAATACCATGTTGATGGCCTCTCAGCTGATTCCCTGGTGGCCTACTGGAATGCAGAATTAACCAGGGCCATCGACTATCTGGCTCCAAAGGGCTGGCTCCGATTGCATGGAGCTTGCAAGAAGACACAGTCAGCCTAAGAGAAAAAAATATCCACTGCAGGGTCCTAAAAGTGTCACATACACACAAACACACACGCTCCTCCTCTTCCACGGTCCTTCCGTTAAATCTCCCTCAGTCATTTACCACATATGTGATCTCCGCCAGCACCTCCCTCTCTCCCACCTACATCCCCTTCTCTCTTCCCAATCCATGCTCATCCATAGCACGTCCCCATTTTACACCAACCACTTCCAAGCACTTCTCTGAGATATCCCTGTTCCCTGCATCAAAGTTGCATGGCTTTGAATCTTACACAATACTCCTGTTATTTTTGACGTCTGTTACAATTGCAAGGACATTGACCTTCTCCAATACAAAGTGGCCAAAAGGCCAGACTATACTTGTTAGATACATAGCATGGAGTTATATAATATTGCTCTTAATTAAAGGGGGTGGTGGGTGGGAATCCTTATCAGGAGGGCAGCAGAGGGTGTCTGAAGGGTTGCCTCTGTCCACATGCAACTTTGGTCTCTCTTCACCCACCCCCCTGCCCCATACAGATTACACCCAGAGATTGCCTCTGGGGTGGTCAGCCTCAGAATTTACTCAACGGTATATTCAGAGTACATTTTTCAATCCGTTTCCTCAGTGCAGCCAGCACATCTCGGTTCCTCAGGCTGTATATCAGGGGATTCAGCATCGGGGTCATAATGTCACAAAACACAGAGATAACCTTATCCTGTTGTGCCGTTCTGTAGGACCTGGGTCTCATATACTTAAAACTGGCTGCTCCATAGAAGATGCCAACCACACAGAGGTGTGACAGGCAGGTGCCAAAAGCCTTGCGCATCCCTTCCAACGATTGCATTTGTAGGACGGTCAAGAGAATGGCAATGTAAGAAGCCAGGATGATGGAAAGGGGACCCAGAAGCAAGATTATGCCGGTAAGGTATATCCCATGTTCATAAGTGGATGTATCAGAACAGGACAATTTCAGCAGAGCTTGGACTGTGCAGAAGAACTGATCGATCCTATTTGACTCACAGAAGGGCTGTTGGAACACAGAAATGGTGTGTATCAAGGCATGTAGAGAAGCACCGACCCAGACGCTGGCCGACATGGCCAGGCAGATCCTCTTGCTCATGAGGATGGGATACTGCAGAGGCTTGCAGATTGCCACATACCTGTCATATGACATGACACTCAGTAGGAGGCATTCTGCTCCTGCCATGGTCAGCGTGAAAAACATTTGAGTCGCACACCCAGCCAACTCAATCGTGTTCTCCTTCCCTATGTAATCCACGGTCATTCTGGGGACAATAGCAGAGCTTAGACAGATGTCCATGAAGGACAACTGGCTGAGGAAGAAGTACATGGGGGTCTGAAGATCCGGACCAGTTTGGATCACAAATAGGAAGAGGCAGTTTCCAGACAAGGCAATGAGGTAGGCAAGTTGGATGGCAGCAAAGAATACAGTGTGCATCACGGTGTGGTTGAGAAGACCGAGAAGAATGAACTCAGTCCAGGATGTCCCATTCATCCTTCGTGTCAGAGGGGCACCTGAAAAGATGGAGGCATGAGAACTGGAGCAGAGCAAGGGCGAGATGAGAAGTGATGAAGGAAGCAGTGCAGGGGAAGGAGACAGATAGGAGCAAAGGAACACCCTAGCTGCCGGAACTTCTTTTTCAAACATTCTCTAAAGTAGCTCCATCTTATGTATTCAGTGGTCAGTGAGATTACATACGTCATGCTGAAATGAGGGTGGTTGGGGGTAAACCTCCAGGCTTGTATGCTTTAATTAGAGTTGCCACATGTCCGTTTCCCCCTGGAAATGTCCGGGATACCAATGTTGAAATTACAATCCGGGGGGATTGTCAGCAAAATGTCATGGTTTTTGCCAAAAGCTCAACAACTTTTTGTGTCTGGGTTTTTCCTTCTTTGCATATGTCTACCCTAGAACTTGAATGCAAAAGTTTAGTGGCTTTCAGAAATCCATAGGGGTGCAGCTGTGTCATCTCAGACCTGGGAGTTTATTGTCCCACAGTCTTTGGGTGCTTCAGTTGTGACGCACACAGTTCTATTTGTGAAGCACACAGTTATTAGGGATCTAATAATCAATTTAGAAATATTCCCCTCCTCTCCTCTTGAATCCCCTGCTTTCTATCTCTCTCTACATTCTTGATAGGCAAGCTGGAGCAAGAGGAACAAACAACAGTCTGCCAAGTCTGATTGAAATAACAGAACCTTTGAGCATTTTAAACCCACGTAAACCAGAGCACCATCATGCTGAGGAATAAAATGCTCTTTGCTTTTGCGGCCCTGACACTAAACACATTCCCTTGGGAATAGAGGGTTGGGGAGTCATTCAGTTTGCATTAAAAGACTAATCTGTCAAATCTACACTTTCCAAAACAAGGTGAGAACTAAAATGGAGCCCTCCTTTGAAAGTCACACTTACCTGAATTTTCCAGCCAACCAGAGTTAACAAACATGTATAGAAAAGGGCACATAAACAAAACAGATAACTGAAAATGGGAAAGGAAAATGAGCAGCTGGCCAACACCCAGTCCCCCTAGACTATAACATCTTTCAAAAAAGAGAGAGCAGAAAGGACTTGGTGGGGGCCGTCGTCAGATCTGTTCATAGCCTCAGCACACCCAACAATTCTGGGGGCTGATAGTGGTCATTTGCTGGGGAGAACTGGGTTAAATCAAGGCATTTTGAACTTCAACCCACAACCCCAGTCTTGGTTGCCCCACTGAAAATCCAAATGCCCTTTAAAACTGCCCTGCCCCATCTTCTTATTACCTGCAATCTACACCCCACAAAAGGTTGCTATGCTTTCCTCTGATGTTTGACTTTCCATCTGCATTCCTCCGTGAAATGCTTCTTATAGCCCAAGGAATCCTTACCAGTGGGATATGGTGCTGGAACAATCTATTTTATTTTGCAACTATGGCTATTCCTTTGCATCATTCAGGCAACTTAGAATGGTCTCCTTGGGGGAGAAAAGCCTTTCTGGGTTTACACATCTCCTAAATCCCACAGCTTTAATTAAAGTTCGGCTGGAGAAGCTGCAGCAATTGCCACTGGGATGTGGAGGGACCCAGAGACATTGAGCGAAACAGAGGCATAATAACTTTATCGAATGGAGCAGAGAATAGCCACATTCAGTATACCAGTCTTTTCCAAACAGTTACACTCGCAACTGAATTCTGCATATCAGGTGCAAAGACACAGAAATGCAACCAATTGGAGCTTAAAAGAGGCTGTGCACTTATTGATTTGAAAAGGAACCATATATTGATTTGAACCAATGGAGCAATTAAGAACCACCTCTTATGTCAGAGATGGGGAAACATGTAGCCATCTGAAACCTGTGGTGGAAAGCCATGGCCTGGGGCAGTGTGTCCCATTTTGCCGCCTGAGAAGAAACGGGAAGAATCCGCCATGCCACCCACAGTGTTTCTTACGTGGGTTGTCTAGTAGCACCCATGAAGCAGACAGCAGGTTCCTATTCATAGCTCCATGGCAGAGTGTCTGTTTTGCATGCACAAGATCCCCAGTTCTAACCCTGGCATCTCAAGGGATAACTGGGAATGTCCGTTACATTAAACCCTACAAAGCCAACCATGAGCTGGTTTCCCTTTTACAATCAGCCTTATCTTTAGCAGCTCGTAAATCATTGAGGCCTACTTGCTCTCCTCCAGCCTAATTAGTTGGCTCGGACATCAAAAACTCTGCTGCGGCACAGAAAAGTCTTGCTTTTCCCCACATACCTCTCGCAGTCTTCCGCAGTCTTCCTCTCCTGTAAGTGCCTTGAATCTGGGCCCATAACCTGTTGTTGGGATACTGCCAGGGAGATGAAGCCATCAGGCAGGCCTCCAGGTCGTCTCCGGACAATCTCCCGGTCTCCCGTTGGAACCGTATCAGTCAATTAGCAACATGAGCCTCAGACACATTTCAAGACTCGTGCACACCCTTTCTGCAGAGTTTCCACAATGGAAGATTCAGCCAGGAGAGTATATTTACAGCTTTATTCAGCATAGATCAGAACAAAGGAAAAACATGACTGCTTGCATCCGTGTTCAGGAAAACAGCCAGAACAAAAGCTATATACAAAACGAAAACTCCCAGTGAGCAGGAAGTAAACAGGCATGTGACACACAACAATCATGCCTGACCACTTAAGGTGGAACGGAACTATATCCTAACACTCCCAGTGTCATCTCTACTGAGTTGGGTGGACTCAATCTAAGGCAGTTTCCCATGCTTCTAGATGTAGCTGGGTGCCATCACCTACCAGTGTCAACCATTTGCTCTGATGTCTGGGGCAGGTGGTAGAAGGAGTTGAACATCTGAAGAGCCCTAGGCGCTGCCCACAGCTTCTGTAGATAACAGCGCATCCATCATAGAGTCAGAGACGCAACTACAATACTATTTTATTGTCATTATCCAGTCGAATGTCACCATGATTCATCTTCTGTGGTCTGAGCATGGAAGCGTTCTTCTGTGCTCTGACACAGTTTCCAGCTTCCCTCTTTTCGTCACCCTGGACCTTGCTGTACTCTCTGTAGAGTCACCAGCTCTCCCCTCTGCCTTCTATCTTGTGTGCTTTCAAATAGCACAATGGTGTTTTGAGACCCCACTTTAACTGTCCTGAGTTCTGCTGCTTTATTGTCCCTCAGATCAGAAATGGGAGTGTTCACCATGGCATCTTTCACAGGGAACCAACAGATCACTATTAACAACAAGAGAGAACGAGCCTGCTGGATAGGCTTTACCTCCATGTATTTGTCTTTCAAAGCCCTCCAAATTGGTGAACACCACAGCCTCTGGTGGGAGTGACTTCCATAGTTTTAACTCTGCACCGTATGGAGAAGCACATTTGCTTATCTGTCCCGAATCTTCCAATGTCCAGTTTCATTGGATGTGCATGAATTCTAGAGAGAGGGAGAAATATTTCTCTCTCCACAGTGTTTGAAGTGGCAAAAGAGTGCTTTAGATGTATTGTGTGAATATGACCTATAATCCAGTCAATAGGCTGCATTGCACGCACGCGCGCACACACACACCTCTCTTTATACAAGAGGGATTGCCAAAGACATATTCCAGCCAGGCAAAAAAGGGTGTGGAGCAGGATCAGTGAGGGCCAAGACCTGGGAAGATTCCTGAGGGCTGGACACGGAGACCTGAGCTTCCCCACTCCTGCAGCATATTGTAGCACCCTCAGAGATTCTATCTGGGCGGGTGTCAGAAGCAGGCCAGCAATAACTCACACGGCATCAGTGAAGTTAACGCTCTTTATTCAAAGAAACAAAACAGCTCAGGCCGAGAGAGCACAGCAATTCTTCCCAGTAGATCTTGCCCCAATGAGGCAGTTGCGAGGACTGAAGGTCCCCATCTTTCCACAGCTGCCTAAGTCTCCTCTTCCCCCAGGACTTCCAAAGTAATTAGAGACTCTGGCACCTTATCTGCCTCTGCTCCTCTCTCTTCATACCTCAGTGGGTTCTGAGAGACCAAGGAGGAGGGGAACAGGTCACAGCAGGCATAGGAGACCCGTGGCTTCTTCATCTGTTTGCCTCATCTCTGCCTCTTGGCCCCCCTCCTCTCCAGCCTCTGCTTCTGCCTCTGAGTCTGGGCTGCTCTCTGCCACAGACGCTTCCTGCTCACAAAACCCTGTTGCCCCTTCAGCTTCCAGCACCTCCTCCCGGTCTGCTCCCTCTTCTCCCTCTGGCCACTCATCGTAGCCCCACCACCAATTCCCTGGCTTTCAGCTTTCTTCTCTTGGAGGTTCCCACCGCCCTTTGGCATCCAACCAGTCCCTGGCAGATGCCGGATGTACCTTAGCAAGATGCAGAAACCTTCTTGCCTCACCCCCACTCTTGAACAGTGTATGAGTCATGCAGTGACAATAGGATGGGCTACTACCGGTTTTTTCTTGATTTCGTTTTTACTTTGCGTCTGCCCGTGAACATTAGGCACTACAGCTTACTGTTTGAAAACCAGCTTGACCAGGGCTCCTTTGACATCATTGTTCCTTAGGCTATAGATAAATGGATTCAAAAGAGCAGTCACCACATTGTAAAACAGAGAGAACTTCTTGTCCCTCTCTGGCTCGTAGCTGGATGCTGGGCGCTTGTATATGAACATGGCAGCCCCGTAGAAAAGCGTCACCACGGTGATGTGCGAGGTGCAGGTGGAAAAGGCTTTGAACTTTCCTTCGGCTGAACGGATGCTCAAGATGGCTGCTAAGACAAAAGCGTACGATACCACTATGAAAGAAAGTGGGATCATGAGCACAATCACCCCCACCACAAAGTCCACCAGCTCATTGACCCGGGTGTCTGCACAGGCCAATTCCAAGATGGCCGGCACCTCACAGAAAAAGTGGTTGATCTCATTGGGGCCGCAATAAGGCAGCTGCATGGTGAAGCCAGTATGCATCATGGCAAAGAAGAAGCCACAGGCCCACGAGCCGGCGGCCATCTTGAGGCAGAGAGGCCTGCTCATGATGAGGGTGTAGCGCAGCGGGTGGCAGATGGCGGCATACCTATCGTAAGCCATCACAGCATAGAGGACACACTCAGTTATCCCCAGGGACAGGAAGACGTACATCTGGGTAGCGCAGCCAGCAAAGGAGATGGTTTTCCTCTGGGAGAGGAGGTGTAGCAGCATCTGGGGCCCGATAGTGGTACTATAGCTGATGTCCAAGAAGGAGAGGTTGGCCAAGAAGAAGTACATGGGTGTGTGGAGACGGGAGTCTGTCCTGATAAGGATGATAATAAGGCCGTTCCCTAGCAGGGTCATCAGGTACATGGTCAGGAAGATCGCAAACAGCAGCTTCTGCATTTGGGGCTGGCTTGAGAACCCGAGAAGGATGAATTCAGTCACAGAACTTTGATTCGCCCCTGTAAGATCCTTTGCCATCTTTAGCCTAAGACAAATGACAGGGAAGTTTAAAAACTAGCAATTTCACGTTAAAATGCATGCCTAACAAAATCCCCTCCCCACATCCCTATGTGAAGGTGAAGGGAACTGGACCTTCCCCACTCCCCTCATATAAAAGTCTCATAGTTCATCAGCCAAACTCCCTTCCCAATAGCATCTATAGCAGAAATGCACTGGGCATGGGGGGTGGCATGGGGGCAGGTAACACTGGGGGCAGGGAGGGGCAGCACCTACCTGGCCTCCCATTGCCGCCTGGTCTCCGCAGCTTACCGGCAGACGGAGGGGAAGGGACAAGGAGAGGTGGTGCAAATGCACTAGCAGGGTTGGCTCTGCCAGTGAGTTTGCACTACACTGACCACGTCACTGCCTTGTCTCTCTCAGTAAAAGCTGTGGTGATGCCAGTGGCAGGAGGTCCAGAAAGCACTGGCACCCCTTACCATGGTCGGGTTCTCCTTCCCTCACTCCTATGCCCCTCTTTAAGGTCAAAACCAGATATAGAAAAGGTGATCATATTATTTGTCCAGCTAGTCCAATATACGTAGTCTATTGCTCCAAACAGAAGCTCTAGAGTCAAGAGGTAAAATTTCAGGGAAGCATATTTTGGCTATAGGTCAGGAGGGACTTTCTTGCAGTAAAAACTGATTGACAATAGAAGAGACAACCTCATTCACTACAATCATTTCAATAGACTCTGGATAAGGATGTTGCATTTGTACTGCGGATTGCAGACTGCATGATCTCCCAGGTCCCTTATGACTCTATGATTGTGTGCACTCTGCTGCAGCTGCAACCCCCGCCTGCCCCCCAACTTCATGCATAAATAGGCAGACACATTATTAAGCCACTACCACCCCTAGTTTGACCCTAGTCTGAAAACTGAAAATGGTCTGCTGGGGTAAGAAGCCCCTCAGAAAATGGGTTTTGTTTTCAGGAACCAGATGGTCACAATATTTAGGGACAGTGAGAATTTCCTTTACCAGGTCAGACTGGGTGATGATTCTGTTTCTTTGCTCCATCAGACTTCTCCTAGCAATGAAGGATAACTTCCTTCATCCATATGGGCTTCTCTTTAACAAGCCTTTAGTAGTCTGGTGTCCTTCAGAGGGACTGGACTACAACTCTCGACAGCCCTGATCATTGGCTGAGATTAGAAGTCCAACACATTTGGAGAGTCTCAGCATGGGGAAGGCTGCTTTACGGGGTCTTCAGGTCTCTCCCATCCTGATGATTCCCACCCCTGTCCTGTTGCAGCCAGTCAAAGATTTTACCGCTCAGCCAAAGGTCATTTCATTCCCTCTGGCAGCAGAAGCACACATAATGACCGCTCCCCGCTTAAAACGGGGGGCGCCCTTTGCGTGGACGCGTGCAGCCCCTAGATCTGGAGCGGCTCCAACAGCATAGGCTTGGCTTTGCCTTCCCTCAGGTGGGATACCTGGAGGTCTCCGCCTACCTCAGTCAGTTGTCCAATCCCACCTGGGGGAAGCGTTGCCAAGGAGACCAGGCCAGGTAGGGGAGGGATTACCTGCCCACACAATAGAGGGAGGATCTTACCTGGGAATCCTCACTTGGCTCCAGAGCTTCTCCCACCCTACCCACCCTCAGTTAATGTCTTATTTTGCAGGTTAACTTTTCTTCACAGGTTTTGCAGGTTAACTTTTCTTCACAGGTATGCGGGCGCTGCTACGTTAAGGTCGCTGTTAAAGGGCCGGAAAGGAATTTCCCTGCATTGGCAGGTTTCGCCTTTCCCGTAGCAAAACGTCACAACTTTGGCGGTATCAGGCCTTGGGCGGAATCCTTTTGTCCATCTTCCTCTTTGCAGCGGCGATACCAGGGTTCCCCGTTAAAGGGGTTTCTGAAGGGAGGCTTTGACCGTACGCCGAAAGGTCGTCATTGCTCTCCCCTGCGGCGGCGGCGTTACGGGGGCGGCTATCTCTGCTTGAACATATGTTCTCCAGAGCCGGCCCATCCCCCCCACACACACTGGATAACCCTGATGCTCCCTAGGTCCCCGGCTGGGGACTGGGGAGGGAGAACACCCAATGCCTGAGCCAAGGTCTACCCACATTTGAAATTTAATAAAGTTGTGGCCAATTTAACCCCATAGCACGTTGTCTTGAGTCGTTATTCCACATGACGGGGAGACCGCGTGGGATCTGGGGACTCCGCCTGTCCACGCAAAGGAGGAAAACTTGTTTTTCAAGAGCCAACTGTATACATAACCACCAAAGCAAGGAAAAGCTAACTTCCTCATTGTCTTAGGTCTCAGATTCTCAGCTAACGGATCTTTCCTATACTCACACACTCATTTAGAACAGCAAGAACACCAATGACCCTTTTAAATATTTTGGAATTTTTTGGATGAAAATCTAGAAGGTTCTATTCCTTGGTGTCCATTATGTCTATGCAGATAGAATGACAGTTTTGACTATTGAAGCATTTGCTTACCTTCATCCTTTATGGCCACAACTGGAAATAGATTCTTCTTCATGCATGAACCACTCTCTCCCAAAATTGTGCCCATACATTATTAACCTGAAAACCTGTTCAACTAGTTCTATCTCTGAAGCAGCTGTCAAGCTTCATTCTGACAGTAGAATTTGCACTTGAACCAACTGCATTTGCCACTGTTCCTCCTAGATCTACACGGAATATATATTTTGTCAATTAAGTGGTCTCTGATAAAGTATGATGGATAAGTCAACAAGCCAAGGAGAAGCATAATTCAATCAAAGCAGGAAAGCGGATCATTCTGGAGAGTAACTGTTCTGCTGCTCATTCAGTGATGGATGAGAACTTAGGAGGAAACAAACAATGATTTTATATTCCTCCAGGATGACTGTCAGTCCCAGAAGAATCCAGTTCTTGAAGAAATTCGCTGAGGACTCAATAGCTTGTTATTTCTGGAGCACGGAACTTGCATTGACTGGTTTCCTTTGTGTTATCTGGGAAATCTTTGAGTCTCAAACATCTCTTTTCCTGCTTCCAACAGCAAGCAATAAAAGAGTAAAAATACATTTTTTAAAAAAAGAATATTTAAAACAATTCCCATACAGATGCAAATGGGGACCAAATATCCCGACTTAAAAGGCTTGTTGAAAGAGGACAGTATTCAGTAGGCGCCAAAAAGACAACAGAGATGGTGCCTGTCTAATATTTAATGGGGGAGGGGGAATCCCAGCAGGCAGGTGCCACAACACTAAAGCCTCAATTCTTATATTGTACAGAATGGAACTCCTGATCAGGTGGTACCTTCAAGAGGCCTTGACCTCTTGAGTACCATGATCAATTGGGTGTATAAGGGGTTAGACAATTTTTCAGGTATCCTATAGTTTTATTCCTGCATCTCCTTCCCTTAGGTTGAAGTGGCTTCCCAGCAACAATTTCATGAGAGCTCCATGAGATCTCACTGGAAGCTTCTTCTTCTTTCCCTTTCTCCAGTGGTGACAACAGGGTGGGGAGGGCACCCACAGGGTCACCACCCCACAGGATTCTGCCACCCGAAGTGGCTGCCTCAGTGCGCCACATGGGTGGGCTGGCTCTGCCCCCTCTCCTTTAGTTCACCTTTCCTGCTTCCATCTCCTTTTGTAGTCATTTGAACATCAAGTCCATCTAAGAGAGATGAATGCACGTAGTAATGAGACAGAGCAAGGTCTTCATCAATGTCTATTTTTATGAAAATCCTCTCTCACTGAAACAAGTCACCTCTACTATTCATAACAGTTGGAACAGAAGTGACCTAATCCTGTTGTCATCAGTAACTAACAGTTTGTAGCAGATGGAGCATCCAGATGAGACATGAGCTTTCCAATAAATGGCATATTATAGCCAATAGCGGATAAGTAATTTAGTCCATTTCCAAGTTATGGGTTTCAAGTCAAGCAGCCTTTGTAGGTTCTGCCATTTAGCTGTGCACATGCAGAGATTAGCCATGTGAACCCAAAGAGAGAGGAAGAGAAGCTGGCTATTAGAAGATTCCTGTTTGATCAGTAATTAGAAACTGACAGTGGAGATAATCATTTATATGTTAAAGGGCACTCACTGAGACAAATAGGAATGTGCACCTGTTTTAGTGTCTGAATGATACATCTTATGATCTGGGATAATTTTCCTGTGGGGAAAAAATCAATACAGAATCTAATCAAAACAAATAAATTTAAATCTCTTGAGAATCCATCACGGGCTATTTCAAATAGAAACTTTTGAAGAGTTCCATATATCTCAGAGTTTCCCTGAAGTGCTTCTTTGCAACAACAACTAACTACCTCCCAGAAGCAATGAACCTCATTAACTGAAACCTTTCCCCTTGAGGTTATTTTTTACAAAACAGTTTTAGTTTGTTAAAACAATAGCTCTTTAATGAACCCAATTAACATGTACCAATGGGTCTTGTTGAAGACTAAGACTATTTTCGCCCTGAGTAATGTAATTAAAGAAGTTTTAATGAGAGACTGAGTAGCACTTAGCAAATTAAAACTTGCTCAAAAGCAGAAAGACAGGGAAGTTCGTTCATCTAAATTATTATTTTTCCATCTAAATTCACATAAATTATTTTTTTACAATGTTAATGTCAATGGTGGTGACATAGCCGGAATACGGCAGCCGGAAGCAGTGTCTGGACAGAAATCACTGAAACGTCCGAAAAAATCTGAACATATGGCAACCCTATAAGAAACAAATAATAGTACTAGTATTGATTTAGCTCCAGTTAAATGCTTCCATTGTACTTAGACTGTGGATCTGGTTTGCTTTGAACCCACCATCATTGACATTACATGTTGGAAGTCTAGATTTTGGCG